TGCTTTCTAGATTTATTTAAAGCTAGAATTTTAAGAGCATATTTAAAGGAAATGTCAAGCTTTATGTACCCCAAGAGCTTTTCATCTGTCAGCTTACAAGTTAATATGATCCCACTTTTTTCATCCCGTTTCTCTTTCTCCCTGGTGTCATACAGAATGTAGGAGCAGATCCCTCAGGGATGAGGCAGGACACTGAGCAAGTGGCAGCTTTGGCTTTCATGAAAGCCAAATGTCCAGTGCAAGCCCTGGGACAACAGTGCTGATCAAATGAGGAGCTGGTGGGGAGTGAAACTCGGGAAAGCACAGCAGGAGTGGATGATAAAACCTGTGCTGGTTCACATATGATGTGTATGCAGTGTCCTGTTTTGCTCACTATGGAACTGGCTGACGTAGTGCAGGTGCTGCTGTCCAAGTTCCCAGATCCACAGCTGGCCTCCATCACGTGTGCAAAAGTACCTGCAGGTAGGGGGGTGTGAACCATCCTGGATTATCATGACAGTGAGATGAAGTGTGCTTGAGACTTCAAACTGCTGGTTTACCACAACGGCTTCTTCTCATTCCCTACACCAACCCCTTTAAATTTTTGTCAAATATTCTTGTTTAGGGCAAGGGGTGAGGGGCTCTTGGTTTTTTCCATATTGTCCATAGTTTTTACTGTTTAGAGGTAGTCTTCATCTCACTCTTCCTGGATTATAGTATCTAACACTGTCTGTACAATTTTTCTGTGTATTCTTAGTGGAAGAGTTGTGTGATTTCTGTAAAGATGTGTGGAAGGAGAAAGCATCAGCTTGTGTAATAGTGTCTGGTCAAGGAACTTTTCGGTGTCTTAAGAGTGTAATAAGAAAAGGAGGAATAAATAGGAACATTCTGAGCACAAATCTGTTGAACAAAAAAGTAAGGAAGGCAGATAAAAGGACCAAACCTGAGCAGTCACTGCTTGAAGAGAGGGTATGTGGAATGTGGGAATGTTTATTTCAGTGAGATGATTTGATCGAAGACTTGTCAAATGGCATTCTAAAGGAAAGGGGGAAGCCATAAATAAAACGTAGAGAGACACAGACCTGCCGAACAAACTTAATGGAGACAAAGACAAGAAACAAAAACCTGGTCAGTCACATGAAGCTGAGGGTCTGGGATGTTGGAGCAGGTCAGTGGGACTGTGCCAGCCAAGGAGACGATGTGCCTGATCTTTACACTTGTCTAGCTGAGCTCTGCGCCTGATCACAGCAGTCTCTCCTATTTTATTAGATCTTTTCTGAACTACCTCTCTGTGTACTATCACTCTCTGTCCCATGTGTGTGAGTGCTGGAGGGCTAAGTGAGACCAGCTTGAGTAGAAACTAGGCCAGCAACTGGAGCCTCACTGGAGTTGTAGCCACTGCCAGGTTTCTGGTCCCCACAGTGTAGGTGAGTGCTGCTCTTGGTGTCGGGAGCTGGAGGGGCTGTAGCTATCTGAATTATTTTGTTGGTTTCCTACAGACTTTGTATCTATAGTGCCAGCTGCTGTGGGACTGGTGTGAGCTTGGAAACTCTACCTTGTAATGCCACAGCTAAGTTAAACTTCTGCCTCTGCTGGTTTCTGGAGGAGAGATGGAAGAAGGCAGTAATGCTTACAAGACACTCTGGGCCACAATGACTCATTCCAGTCACATAGGTGACTTCCCTTGTCTTGGTTCTAGGGTTGTGGGGCACAGCTCTTTCAGAGCTACTAGGCCTAAGCCATAAAATATACTTAAAATTAGGTTAGTCCTGGCCTATGAATAACCTGCTACATTTTGACATAACTGTCTGTTCAGCCCAGGAATTTACTGTTACTGTAGATATAATCAGAGTAATAGAAATACTGGGACGTAAATCAAATCACAGTTGTTGGAGTATATATCCTACCATGCAAAATATTCAGTTTTACTAGTAACGATCTGATGACTTTGTCCTGATCTTGTTTCTTTTAAATGCGAAGTGATCTGTGTTCCTGTTCATCATGCTCTTTTTGCTGAATGTATATTTAAAGAAAGTAGTGCTTTTAGCTTGTTAGTTGAGAGGTAGATACAATGTTCTTGATAGCTCTCAGCCACTCTGTTCTCATCGCCTTTTGGACATGAGAAAAACACATAACATAATGGCTGTAAAAAATAGCAGGTAGTCCCAGGGAATATTTTGAATATTACAAGTAGAGTGATTTGGGGATTTGGAGAGCTACTGTCATTGCTGAAAGTATCATGTTCCACAAATAAACTACTGAACTTTTTATCCAGTGATAGCGTAGACTGAAAAAACGTACTGTCAATATCTAGTTATTCCACAAGCTTGTTAAAAAGACATGAAAATAAATATTAAATTATACAAGATACGTATCTGTCATTAACTCTTTGTACTTTCCTGCATACTAGTATTATCTTTCTACAATCATCAGATGGGAATTGGTTTCTTAATAAAAACTAAGACAAAACACCCTGTCTTCATTGAGTTTGAGTTGGGATTTTTTTATGAAAGTTTGTAAAGAAGTTTGGTTTAGCTTTAGGTTACTTATTTTAAAGTACAGAAATAAACCCACAATTACTTTTTAAATCTCTCTGTACATGTAGTTCCAAGAATGATTTTAGCTTTATTTTCTTTCTAATGAGAAACAGTTTTGGCTAAAAGTACTGTTGCTTACTGCAGACAGCAATTAGCACTTATGGAGTTTGAAATACCTGTGTTAAGTAATTTAGAGTCATGATGAAGGCTAACTGCTTAGCAGTTTGCATCTCCACTGTCTTTGAACTGGTGCACTTCACGAACAAAAGAAAAATAATAATTAAAGAACTGTTTTTCCATACTGCTTTCTACAGCGCAGGGTATATTAATGTTAATGATCTGGAAAGGTGCCAGATTTAAATTAGGGCATTAGCAGCGAGATTCCCAGCCAAAGGCATGTACAGGATGTATCAGGACAGCAGTGATTATTTTATTATTTTAGGGTTCTGTTTTCTGCCAGCTTCACTAAATCCAGTTTTTTCTTTCCTCCATTTGACATCTTCTTTTGCACTCTCAAAATCCCAGCATACATAATTTACTAGCCTGTGTTTCTCTTTGAGTAGGCTTAGTCATCATGGTGTAAAAAATTGGGCCACAGGTCATCCATCTCTGACTCTTGTAGCATAGTTCCTTTAAGATTTGTCCTTTGACAGTGTTCTCTGAAATCTGACAAAACAGGTATTTTCACAGAAGCTTTGCTGCCAAGGCACTTACGGAATATCTCTTCCAGTTTTTTGGTGTTGAGCTTCTGAGGGTGAGCAGCCTTCTGGAAGAGTCAACATTTACCTGGACATCTACTTTCATGAACCTTCAGCTGCACACCTGTCTTTTGACCTATTTTTCTCTGAAAAATTAAAGTGCCGTTGGTTAAAGAGTTCAGAAGAGATTGAGCAACAGATGGATGCATGCATCATCAGGCTGGCTGCCCAAGGAAGCCGATGGCTTTAGATAAGATAGAGTAGGGGAAAACCGCAGTTCGTGTTAAGGTGTTTGAAAGCAAGAACCTGAAAAGCTCTAAAATTTTGTAAAAATAGCCACAAGTCAAAGGAAGGGAAAAATACCTTTTTTCTCTTAAACACCTGGACAAAGCTTTTGGTTGTTAAAGACTGTGTGCTCTCAGAAAGAAGAGTGGAGTAAAACTATATGTCAGTGGAAACCTACCAAGAAGCAACTTAATAGTGTTCAGAAAGTAACAGGTCCCTGTGAAGCTAAGAGCCAGAAGATGTCCATAGTCCAGTCTATAACTAAATCTGAAATAAGACCTCTAGCAACCTGTGGATTATGAGACTGTGGGAGGGCCACAGAGCCGTTGCAGACAAGTTGTTTTCTCTGCTCCAGCTATCTGCAATTACATGCAATTTTAATTTAAAAAGTGCTGTGGTGGGCTGAGATGGAAGTGGTGGGGTGAGTGGACGAGCTGGAGAGCAGCAGAACAGTACAGTTTGCACCAGGAGTTCTGTCAGAGAAGTCCATGTGGTGTTTGGACTAAATGGTGGTTTCAGTGTGATAGTTCATGTGGTTTTAGTTTTTGTGTGCTCAGTTGGTGAGCTCTGAAGTATGACATGTATTTTTCTCTGTTTTCAATTGTCATGCTTGTTAACAGCATGATGTGTTACAATTTTGACAGAATAGTTTGCTACTGGCGTCGTAGGCATTGGTGGAAATTTCCGAGAAGTATGACAGCTCTATTAAATGGTTCAGTAGCATGGACACACAGAGAAGAGGAGAGGTAGTTGTGTTCATAACTAACTGGGAGAACATCATCTGGAGGCGAAGGACCTCCATATCACTAGGACTGAAAATGTTGAACACTGTGTAGTCCCTGTGGAATTTTAGCGAAGTACACAGACTTAACCAGAGATTGATGATTCATTTTTTTCAGGTTATATGTATAAACGAACATTATTACGTGAGTAACTAGAAGGATGAAGCATCTCCGTGTTGAGCTAGCAGAATCAAAATAGCCTGCAGCACAGAGCAAGTGTCTGATTAGCTGTGTAAGTGCAGACCTGATAGGGAAGGGATGCAGTGCAGAGCGCAAGCTCTGTGTGGTATCTGCTTACTGACTAGTACAGATTCCATTGTTGTGAAGTCTCTGCTTGTACATCTTTTCATGCTTCTGTAGCCTATAAGTGCTAAGGACAGAGGAATGTGAAATAGGTTGTTCCTCACTTTCTTCATGTTACTCTCTTTTCTGTTGTATTTTTGGGTTTGCATGGATGTTAGAATTTTTATATTTTAATGCTGCTAAAGTGTAATTTAGTACTAATTCTTCCAGGGGGTAGGGAGCCATCAGAAATCTCTGTTTATAAAGATAATAAGTAGGCAACTAGTTGCAGGTTCTCAATTTCCTGGTGTTTTAGTGCAGTCTGCAATAAGTCACTCCTAATGCTAGCTGCAAAGCAATACTGAAGTATGGATTGTAATTCACTCATCTGGAGGTGGGTTTTGTTTTTTGTTTTGGTTTTCTTTGCACTGGCGTAGAGCGAAGACAGTCCTAGTCCCAAGCGACAACGCCTTTCCCATTCAGTCTTTGACTATACAGCAGCATCACCAGCCCCATCACCACCAATGCGACCATGGGAGATGACATCAAATAGGCAGCCTCCTTTGGCCCGACCCAACCAACACCACTTCTCAGGGGAACGATGCAACACACCTGCACGAAACAGGAGGAGGTAAGCAAGCTGTGTAGCTTGGGAAACAAGTTCTTATTCTTCCTAATTTTAGCTCAAGGGAGGTGTGTTTTGGTCAGCACTGGCTAGATTACACATGGTAAACGTGTTAATGTTTCCTTTAAGCTGAGTGTATTAAAGTCGTGACTGAAAAGTTATTGGAAGTAATTCACGTTTGTGCATCGTCTCAATGCATGTGAATAGTCAGCTCAAGGAAAGGAGTGCTCAAAATATATTTAATTATGAGCCTGATTCTCTCTCTATCACTCTGCACTGAGGCAAAAAGCATGTGGAAAAATACAAGGAAAGATCTTTCTCCTTGGGGTGCTTTTAATGGAATTAAGAGTTACTGATGTAGTACCGTAGTTTTCATTGCAGTCACAATTATTTTCATACTTAAAACCAATCTAAATAAAGATGAGAGTTACTAGCTGGGGAGATGGGGATGTTAGCACAGTGTCAAATGTTTGCTGAGGTGGCTGATTCACATGTAATAGGAGTTAGATTTTCATGTTGGTTTTAGCTTGTGGCCCATTAACTTCTCGAAGCAGAGGTTTTGGAAGAAGTTCCAATGGACATGGAAGAGAGAGATTGGGATGACTAGGTTGAACTGATGCCTGGAGGGATGGTAGTCTAGGAAACCATAAAACCACAGACTTTTTTGCTAAAGATAATTGCCAAACAAATTATCCAAAGCAGAAGCGTTCTGCGTCAAAAATACCGAGTTACTTTATGCAAGTTAAAACACATTGTCTCTCTGCTTCTAAGAAATATTGTGGCTTGGTTTGTACTTTAAAAAAAAGTGTCTGTGCTTTCTCATTAATATAAAATATTAGGCTTAAGATATATTTAGCTAGTTTTCTTCAGATGCCACAAATCAAATTTGGCAACAATGATCAGCCAAGAGTAGTTTTTAGGCAAGAAATTTTTTTAAAGCATGCTAGTTTTGTATCTTGGCTTGAAGTCCATGAATTTGAAAGCTTTCAGTCAGTGGCAGGTAAAATACTCAGCTCTCAATGCAGCTTGTCAGACTTTTAAGAAAGAGGTTCAATTGTGAACTTGAAGTATTGTTGTGAAGACAGAAGATTAGACCTTTTTATATGGTTTGGTACAGGGATGCTCTGCAGGGGCATTTGGTCCACAGCATAATCTTTACCTCGAAATAGTTTGAACTGAGATGCCTGGAATATGCTGCATTTGGCCATTTTTGTTTGGTGTCCAGGCAGCCTACACAGATTTCTTTGCGGTGTTCATTAACCTCTCCTGCAGAGTTAAGCAGAGTGCTTAACAAGCTAGACAGCTGAATCTAGACAGTTTGGATGTACTGTGGGATGAAGAAGAATGGAATGTGTAAGAGATAGATGTGCATGGACAAGTGTCTGACATTCCGATGCAATCAGGTGTTACCTGTGGCTTTTGCAAGTAAGGCATTCTGCCAACAGGAAGACACCTCATTGGAAAGCCACCTTCAGTCTGACAGGAGCAATTAGGTTGGCTGCAGCATCGTGGACATGAAGCATGATTCTTTCTAGTGCCAGCTTGCCTGCTCTTGGGTGATAACACAAGCTTTGCTCTAATCAGAGACACTTGAATGTGTCAGTGCTTTGTTTCCCTGCACTTGCATTTTTTAGCTTCAGTGCACTGTTGCATTTGAGCTAGCTCTAGGGGAGTTCCAGAATAGCATTGCATCCAATTTCCTCTCCTAGAACAGGATGGTTAGGGAGAACAACACATACATGTGACTTGTTTTCCAGGAGTCTTTTTGAATCTTAGAGTGCTCTGGAGTCATATCAGAACTAATAACCACTCTCATGGATCAAAAGCTTTATTCGTTAAGATTATTGTGAGTGCATCAAACGCTTTATTCGTTAAGATTATTGTGAGTGCATCTGTTACTAATGCTTTAGGTGAGGTTATGCATGTGCTTTTGAAGCCACTTTCCTGTTCTCCCTGCTTTGTTTTCTCTTCCCATGGCAGAGTAGTCTCAGAGTTACTGAGGTTTTCAGATTAAGATAAGATGAAAGATGCACTCCAGTTGCAAATGGTTATTCAGCTCAAGGAAGCAGGCTGGGACAAGTGCAGGCAAAACCTCTCCAGTGTATGTAGTGTGGACATCACTCTGACCCAGCAGCATCAGCATTAGCTCTTTTGTCCTACCAGTTCACTCCTGTTGATCAGGACAGTCTGTGTTGGGTTCTTTTATTATGTGGATTTTTTTTTTTTTTCATTTCCTGGCTTATTTAGACCTTACCTCTTGGTATCAGTGGTTTTGTACTGTGCCTAGCACAACAGTGCCCTAATTGGTTGTGGTTTTTTATTCCGATTCATCATAAGCAAATAAATACTGCATTTAGAAAGATAGCCTTCTGGTGTGAATTTGCAGGAAGATTATTTTTGTTCAGTTACTTATATATAGGACAGATAAACTGTGAATGTAAAAGCGTGATGCATGCCTATATGAAACAGGGAAGGCCATTCCAATTTATCAGTCATTGTGAAATGGAGGGTTCTGTACCATTGCTATGCCTTACCTTTCATCTCTGCTTCCTTTCCTCCTTGTCTTGAATGTAATTCTGAACTAACGGGATTCAAGAATGTGTTACTGCAAAGAAATCACCCTTGTTAGAAATACTAAGATCTGCACACACTAACTCTGCAGTTATGGATACCTTTTGATGGCTGTTCTTACCTAAGGGTAGGAAGTCCTGCGATTTTTTCACCAATTCCATCCTGTTTCTTTGCTTTAACCTGGCATTTACGATGTTTATACTGTGCATGTAGAAAGAAGATTTTTTTGTGGCTGTTTTTTAAAGGCTTTAAGCACAAGTTCGTTCCTGATGTTTCATGATAGTTTAGACATATGTCTTGACAATTGTTCTGAAGTAATTTCCATTCATTCAGGAAGCGAATAAAGCTATGTATCAAGGTGCTCTGAATTTTGCTGAATGAAAGTGTAGTTTCTTTATAAGTCTGCATAGGAAAAAATCCAGTTTTGCTTTTTATCAGGGAATGATACTTCACTGGTTTAAAAAGACATTCCAGAAGTTTTGCCAGCTTTTGTTGGCTGTACTTTCTCATAATTCTGGGTTCATAGAAAAGTAAAGCCGACCCTTTTAACAAAGACAGAGATATGACTAGTTTTATGAGAATCTGCCTTGTCTGAGAAGCCACCTTGTTTAAGCACTGGTGGCAGTTAGAGAATTTCTGAAGCGCTGGAGCTGCCCCTTGTAACTTTCCTCTGTTCCTGCAGCTTTTCCGAAGACAAATCCTTGCACAGCCATTTTTGTGTTAAAATATTCAGAGCATTTCTGTTTCATAGCAGGAAATAGCAAATTTAAACCAACCTTGGTACTCCAAACAGTAGAACATCTTTCGCATTAATAGTTCTGTGGTTAGAAATTATATATGACAGTTTTGTCTAATGAGAATGTAGCAGTTGTGTCATATTAGTAATGAAGCCATGGAGAGTGCAGCAAAATCTTCGAGGAAAGAAGCTGGAATTAAGACATACATTACTAAGACTGTAAATTTAGGTACTCAGTGCTTAGAAGAAAACACAGCTAGTATGTTGTGACATGGTAGCTTGTAACAACGAAGGCTATGCATTTTTGATTTGTTTCAGTTTTTCTTTTCTTTAAGAATGCTGTGTTACAATCTGGTGTTATGCCTTCTGTCTGACCTGTCGTGAATTACCATTTGTTTCAGTTCTAAGATAAGTTATAATGGCATAAAATCCCTGTGAACTAGGGCAGAAAAATAGTGGCTTGAGACATTTTATCATATACTCCCAGTAGCATCTGGATAGCTGGTAGTGTGCTCCCCCTTCCCCAGAGTATGTCTGTTTTACGCAGCACAGAAGTTGGACTGAACCTGAGAAGTATCTGGGATTTCCCAACAAGTTGCAGGTTTATTTGATTTTTATTTGGTAGTAGCAAAAGTTGTTTTCCATGTACTCTGAGAGGACATGTTCTAATGGTTACAGATCCTTTTTGTCTCTTCTCTGCAGTGTGGTTCCTTCAGTCTGTTTCCTAAATGGGAAACCATTTCACCCCATGTGGCTTTAATTTGCTGTTGCTTCTGGGACCTCTAACTTAACATGTTGTGGAGGTTGGAAAGCATATACTGAAAGTACTGCAAGATCATTTTGTGCTTTCAGTTCTTTCCCCTTCCAAACAAACGAGAAGAGGCTCGCTCAAAACTTCTAATAGTGAGTTTATGACTTGTGTGTGCATCATTTTCTGAGTGCTGAACCTGAGCCACTGGTCTCTGATTTACAGAAGTCTTGGCTTAAGGTAGTAGCAGCTCTGCTCAGAATATATGTGCAATTATATAAGAATATGTAATCAAATCCTACCTCTAGATCAGTTGCTCAAAAGAAGTGGATGCTCAGGTCTAAATTAATCTACACAAATTCTCCACTCTTAAAAAGAAAGAATGCTGCAATCACAGTTTCCTGGGATGTTCTTGAGAGAATTCTAGAAGGCACTCAGTTATGTTGTAAACATGTGAGAGCTGAAAAATTAGTTCGTTTCCACAGAGAAGTCTATTGTTTGTCTGCCGTCGCTAAGTGAGCAACCCTTCTGTGGCATGGTTGAAACAAAGACCCTGGGGAAATCCGTGATCATTTAATGAAGGATTTCTACCTAGATAGAATAAACGCAAGAAAATCTCGTGAAGATTGCAGTCTTGACTTTTGAGCACTTTTATGGCAATCCAAGTGTCATCTTTTTAACAAGTTAATATTTACTTAAGAGTTCTTCTCTTGGTTTCCTTAACAGCATTAACCTATGCTTTATTAAACATTTGCTTACTGAAAAAAGTGTAAGGCTTGTAGCAGTTCTGTCAGTAAGAAATTTTATTCCAATCTAATAAACCTGTTCTAGTAAAATTTTCCAGTGTAAAGAATTTACTTGTCTTGTGGTTTTAGTTACAGAGAAGGATTTGTGTCATTTGTATAATCTCTAATTTTTTTAATGCATTTCCAGTCCTCCTGTTCGACGTCAGAGAACAAGGAGAGATCGTTTGTCTAGACATAATTCTGTTAGCCAGGATGAAAACTATCACCATCTCTCCTATGGACAGCAGCAAGCAATAGAAGAGCCCCGAGCCTTTCGCCCACCGAATGTATCTCCTCGTATGTTGCACCCAGCTGCTCACCCACCACAGCAGAATGCAGTGATGGTTGACATTCATGATCAGGTAACATTTTTAGAGTACTAACAGAAGGCTGTTGGAGATGCGGGGTTTGGTTTTGTGTGTTTTTTTCCCCAAAATCTTCAAGATCCCTCACCTCCCCAAATTAGTTGCCGATGAAAGTCACAGAGCACTAAATTCTATTTGCCTTCTTACGGAGTGTTTTTTTCTTTTGTGTATGAAGCATTGCAGTAGGCAGTGGAAAACAAACAGAAAGAAGGTTCACGCATTCAGTAAAGATTGATATTTAACAATTTGTCAGTGTGTTTATTGGCCTATTTCTGTAGGTTTTTGTCTCAAACCTTTGAAATGCAGTTTTGTTTTGCTTTTGTAATTAATTTGTTGTGATAAAGATGTGATACGATACTTATTAATAATGTATTCCATTTCACATGAAATACCTTGCCTTAGCATAGGAGTCATTAAACAGTTAAAATATATCATTTAGAAGTAGAATTTGCAATGCCTGTAATTGGTTGCTCGCGTAACAGCGGAACTCACGATAGTATTGTTGCATAACTGAATTAGTCATCCAAACCTAATCAACTCCTCCTTAAATTTCATGAAAAAAATTATATATATGATTGGTCCAGGAAGTAAGTAATTCCTCTTTGCGACAGCACTTTGTATAGAATCCTGTAACTGAGGACCTGTAAAAGTGGTTTTGGGCCCCTCACTACAAGAAGGACATGAGATGATGGAGCATGTCCAAAGAAGAGCAACAGAGCTGGTGAAGGGTCTGGAGCACAGGTTATATGAGGAGCAGCTGAGGGAGCTGGGGGTGGTTAGCCTGGAGAAAATGAGGCCCTGGGAGGACCTTACCAATCTGTAAAACTACCTGAAAGGAGGTTGTAGCTAGGTGGGGGTTGATCTCCCAGGCAGCAAGTGACACGACCAGGCGAAATTGCAGCAGGTTGCACTGGGGTGGTTTAGATTGGATATTAGGAAAAATTTCTTCACTGAAAGGGTTGTCAAGCATTGGAACACGCTGCCTAGGGAAGTGGTGCAGTCACCATGCCTAGAGGTATGTAAAAGACACATAGATGTGGCACTTAGGAAGATGATTTAGGGATGGACTTGGCAGTGCTGGGTTAACAGTTGGACTTGATCTTAAGGGTCTTTTCTGGCCTAAATGATTCTGTGATTCTGTTGAGGTAACTTGTGCTGTTTTTTGTTAAATTAACAGGCTGCAGCACAAGTAAATTAGTTACTACATAGTCGTGAAGTGAGAAATAGACCTGGTTATCTGGATGTCCACTTCTCAAACTGCATGTGTGTGGAATGCAGCTGTCACATCCCTGCTTAAGAACTGGTTTGATTTCAGTGCAGCCCATACCACTGGTGTGTCATATTATGTGTGCAGGTTCTCAGCAGCAAAGTATTTGCTTTTGAGACCAAGTGCAAGGATGGAAGGCAGTGCCATTCTAGCCACCTAACAAACTTACATTCTGAGCAATTCTACTTCTGCAGCATCTCAAAGATTCAGTGATACTTTCCACTTGAGGAACATAAAAAGGATGAGACATCATTTTTTAGTATTATTTTTGTGAGCAATAAACATTTCATGATCACACCCAGCATTGCACTGTATGCCCAACTTTTGTAGCAGGGGCAGAACTGGGTAAAAGTCAGTGTCTCTCCTGAGACTGGTTTCTGTCATAAGTGATATACAGGTTGACATTTTAAGCTCAGTTCAGTGATCTGTGTTCTGATTTGGTCTGTGTGCCTGACTGTACACTACCAGTTTAATAGTTTAGCTCTCTTTACTCATTCTCACCTTCCTAATGAGCTGTTATTGTTTAAACCAGTAGGTTTCCTTTTAGCAGATCATGAAGGAAGAGAGAGCTTCGAAATAATTTCAGTTAATCTGTGCTTCCTAAGGCTTAAGCCTTTTCAATGTTATTAGACCATGAGAGATTTCTTGTTTAGTTAAAAAAAACCCACAAAACCAACAACAAAATAGAACAAGCAAAAAAAAAAAAACCAACACAGAAAACAACCCACATGGCTTGTAGGTGCAGAATACCTTTGGATCTTAGTTTGATGATTAAATCTTTGGGCATGTGACTAGCTAGAAAATTGGGTTACGTGGGTCTGTTTCCTAATATAAATTTGGATAGTTAGGGTTTGCTGCCTCATAGTCATGTTAACTTTTCCTTTTCAGCTGTCCAGTTAGGTGTTCTGTTACACTTAGCTTGGGAGTTCAGCTTAAATATTGGCCTGAGAGTGAATCAAGAAATTGGTCTCTTTAAAAGAAAGAAAATCTGCAAAATTGTTTTTTTAACACAAGTCTCAGAGTTAACATTGAATCACTCCCTTTAGAAATGAGAAAATTCTTGAGCTACTTGTAGATTAGCTTTTATGTGGGAGTTACTGCCTTATTTCATAACAATTAACCTGGGGGAGAGCAGAGAGACCTAATAGTCTGAGGTGCTTCTGAGTGACTAAGGTGCCTTTGAAGTTTTAACATTTTAAGCTGAGATTCCTCTCAGTTTTGCCCAGAAACTTGTGATCAGTAAATAACATTCCATTGATAAAAATATTTTAATGAACAGAAATTACAACCATGTGCCTCCTTTTACACTTCCATTGTGAATATATTTACTTTTCACATACGTTTGTAAAAGCTTGTTATCTTACTCCCTGTGCTGTACAACACTGTTGAGACTTTGTAGTAAGTTATTAAATTCTTTTTTTTTTTTTCCCCTTTTGCTGCAGATCCATCAGGGCACAGTTCCTGTTTCATACACAGTGACCACTGTGGCTCCACATGGGATACCACTTTGCACAGGCCAGCACATTCCAGCCTGCAGCGCTCAGCAGGTCCCAGGGTGCTCAGTGGTTTTCAGCGGCCAGCACCTTCCAGTTTGCAGTGTGCCTCCCCCAGTAAGTGGGTCTCTGTAACTACACCAGCTTCAATCTGTCGTAGAAATGGCACCTTGGAGCTTTAGTGTCTGTGTGGCTTTAATTCTGTTGGAAATAGCCTTTTTTTTGTTTTTCCTGTGCTAAATTGAAGTGGGATAGTAGTGTGGGCTTTAGACCTGATAAGCATATGGTAGTTACCTACTGTCTGTATAGAGTATGACTATTTATAGTAGTAGAGTCCTGATGGGTTTTAATTCAAACCTAAAGCTGGTTTATGAACTGACTTACATCAGCAGCTATTCTACCTACTTTCCTGTAGTAAGAAGAAAGCTTCTAAGGCTTTAGTCTGGCAGGTCACCTAGGAAAAAATCTTACTCAGTGGAGACCTTGTTCAGGGATGGTTATATGCAAAAAGGTCTGATATTCCAAGGTTAGTTTTCTTCTGAGAAGTAGTGAAATCCTGAAAGATCACTAGAAGTTGAAAAGGGCTCTTTTGTCTGAAAATACTCTCATTCTAGTAATAAAAATACTCATCAGTAAGGATGTCTTCTTGTGCCTTGCTGGGAGTAAAATTAAGTACCTTGACTGGCCAATTTACCAACTTTGAATTTGAAAGAATTTGAACTGTTTTCTCACAAATTTTTATGTGTCAGCTCAGAGTTACCACTTTCCAGATCATAGCATTCTGATGGAAATTTCACCATTAAATGTTAACAGGCACCAGAGCCTGTTTCCCCTCGTTTTTTCTGGTATAAATCTGTAATATCATACATAAATACTATATAGAGTGTCCAGCAAACGTTTATAATGTTGTTATAATGTTGTTATAATGTTGGTCTCTGCCAGCTGTGCATTTGCCAGCAGTGTGTAACTTAGCTTTTCCTGTTGTGCATTCTGTGACCTGAGGACATGAACGAGCCTATGTGACACTGAAACAAAACCCGTGGTGTGACCACCTGTTTCTTGATGGTGCTCATTGATGAGTGCATTTATCGTGTCCAGGTGCCATTTGTTTGGAGTGAATGTACAACAGTTAGTCAAGTGTGTTGAGCAAATGGATCCAGTACAAGTGACTATAAAAAAATTGAGTTTCTGTATCATCAGCAGGCAGACTTTATGCTTTCTTCTCTTAGGTCACAAAACTAAGGAATAGTTTAAGTTAGGAGGGTCTGTGGAGGTCAGCTGCTGGTCACCTGCTAAAAGCAGTATTTGTTCCCAAGTATGGAGATTTCATAACCCCTCTAAGCTTCCACTCCAGTGTCTGACTGTCCTCATGGTGAAGAATTTCTTCTGTATATCTGATTGAATTTTCTTTCTGAATTTTCTTTGTTGCATCTTGGTCCCATTGATCCTTGTCCTTTCCTTTTGCGCCTTGAGGAGAACTCAGGTACTTTCTGTCCACTCTTATGAAGCACTTGCAGACAGTATTAAGGGTTTTGCTTAGTTTTTGCTTTTTAAAGCAGAACAAGTCCAGTTCTACCACCTTTTCTTTTATGCAGTGTGCTCCAAGCTCCTGGTCATCATGTTGTTACTGTTTTTTTTGTCACTGAGGCACCCAAAACTGGACACAGGACTTGAGATTAGTGTCTCAAGTTCTGAATGGAGGAGCAGAATCACTTCACTCGTTTCACTAGTTGCATTCTTACCAATGCAACCCAGCATACCGTAGGCCTTTTTGACTGCAGGAGAACACTGTGGGTATTGTCTACTCCTAACTGATGTGACCACCAGAACTCCACTTTTTTTTCTGCAAATCTGACTGCAATCAGTTAGTCTCAAAGAGTTCTTGCTCCATGGAGTTATTCTTACCCAGTGCCAGACTTCCCATTTGCCTTTGCACTTCACATAGTTCCTGTCAGCCAGTTTCTCCAGCCTATAACTCTACATCTGAAAGGTAGCCCGTGCCCTCCAGAATGTGAGCTTGCTCACCAGCTTCATCTGTGAACTTCCTTTCGCTATTTTCACAATATTTGTCTCTCACACTGCATATGTAGCTATAAAATAAAAAATTGTCAGCTAGTAAATACCTTTATCAATTTTAGAAGTTCTTCAAAGGGACAGGATGGCATCCAGAAGGATCTGGACAAGCTCGAGAAGTGGGCCCATGGGAATCCTATGTTGCTTAACAAGACCAGGTTCGGGGTGCTGCACTTTAGACAACCCCCAATGTCAGCACAGGCTGGGAATGAACAGATTGAGAGCAGCCCAGGGAAAAGGACTTGGGGTGCTGGTGGATGAGAGGCTGGACATGACCCAACAATGGGCACTTGCAACCCAGAAAGCCAGTTGTATCCTGGGCTGCATCCAAAGCAGCGTGGCCAGCAGGGAAAGGGAGGGGATTCTGTCCCTCTACTCTGGTGAGATCCCACCTAGAACACTGCATCCAGCTCTGGGGTCCTCAGCACAGGAAGGACATGGACCTGTTGGAGTGTGTCCAGAAAAGGGCCAGTAAGTTGATCACAAGGGCTGGAGCACCTCTCCTGTGAGGAAAAGCTGAGAGGATTGGGATTGTTCAGCCTAGAAAAGAGAAGGCTTCAAACTGAAAGAGAGTAGCTTTAGATGAGATATTAGGAAGAAATTCTTAACTATGAGGGTGGTGAGGCACTGGCACAGGTTGCCCAGAGAAGTCACGGGTGCCTCATCCCTGGAAATGTTCAAGACAAGGTTGGACAGGGCTCTGAGCAACTTGGTGTAGTAAAAGTTGTCCCTGCTTGTGGCAGGGAAGTTGGAATGAGATGAGCTTTAATATCCTGTCCGACTCAGGCCTTTCTATGATATGTTCAAACAGCAGAAGTTTTTCAAAAGCCTTAATGAATAAACAGGTAATTTTTATTTCTTCCTACTTCAGAGTTAGTATGGCCTCATTTGCTCTAACTTTAAAAAGTGACATGGACATAGCATAGATCATTCCAAACATATACAGGAGCTATGGTAATCTTTACCATACAGAATTTTGGGATTAAACCTATTCTGATGTTTCCCAAAGAACCTCCTGTTTTAAACAACAGTCTGTGATGTTCTACATGCAAATTTATCTCCAGCTATTTCAGAAGACAGTTTTTAATTCAGTAAAATACAGTAAAAATTTATTATAACAATGGAAACAGTTGTCTGTCGTATTCCTATTTTAGAAAAATGAGGTAGTAACTGAAGGTAAAGAATAGTCAGCACTTAAAGAAAAATAGTAGTCAGATCAAATTAATCTGCTACTATTTCAGTACATGTGAAGATTTATGTTTGGTCATGATCACAGTAAATTGAGGTGATAGTTCCACCTCCACTACTGTTAATCAGATTTTAAACTAGTTCCTTTTACCATTTTATGCCCTTATAGTCAATTGGCACAGTATATGCTATGTGACATGACTAATAAGGAAAAAAAAGTGAGAGATCAGAACTGGATCAACTTTCTTTGTAAGATTTGATAACAAATATCTTCATTAATTGCTCTTTTAATTGCCAGAAATGTAACAGAAATGCCTGACATTCGGATGATAGATCAAAAGAGAGAAAAAAGAGAATGCAGGTTTCTTGCTTCTTCATATCTGAAGGTGGAAGTAGAAGTGAACACTTTCACAAAGAACATTCCTCTTGCCCTTCAGTGCCTTCACCACTGTAGTGTTCAAACTTCTGTGCCCAAAGCTGCTTTGGGGCACAAATTCCTTTTTGTCAATTTTGACAATTCCTTTTTGTCAGGAATTTAAAGGAGGAGAGGAAAAGGGCTCTTTCGCACAGCAGTTGTCACTGAGGGAGCTGCCTTTACAGCATAGGACTCACCTCGAAGTGCAGAACTGAGCAGACCGTAAGATTTATTCATAATATATGAGGCAACAGAGGTTTTTAGGCACAGTTTGGCAGCTGAGAGTCCCTCTGCTGCATCTAGAGCTTAAAATGGTTGCAATGCCATTGCTTTGGCATGTTGTTTTGATGGTAATATTTGGCAAAAATAAAATGAACTAGGATAAATGTGTCTGCTCGTCACTTAGGAGGCTGTCTAATCCTGGAGTATGGAAAATCCTAGCTCCCAGTGACCTTACGAGCACCTAGCAGATGTCAACTATGGTGCTTCTAGAGCCTGTTCTGTGCTAATCACTGTTCCTTGTGTATTTGAATGAGTTATTATTTATGTATATTTTGAAGGCTTTTCCAAGGAGGTAAAAAAACTGTTTACTGATATCTTTCCATAATAAATGCATAGAATGTAGAATGTCGTTTAGGGAATGTTTGTGCTAGAGACAAAAATGTATTGTTTTCACTTTATTTCAGATGCTTCAGGCGTGCTCAGTCCAGCACCTACCTGTACCATATGCAGCATTTCCACCCCTCATTTCTAGTGACCCATTCCTTTTGCATCCTCCTCATATATCTACACACCACCCTCCTCACTTGCCTCCTCCAGGACAGTTCGTTCCTTTCCAAGCACAGCAGTCACGGTCGGTAAGTAATGCCTCTTACCCCACTCTCTGTAGAACTGGTGGGGTGCATAGTACTGATTGATACCTCACTGAGGAACAGAAGGATTTTGTATTAAGCCTGTAACTGCTTGGTATAAAGATGAAAAAGTACTTTTGAAGGTCAGTGTTGCACTTCAGATTTCATCGTTGTCTGTGCTGTTTCTCCATAGGCTTTTACTTCTGTCAGAAAGATGGGTGTTTGTTTCACCATCTGGTATTTCTTTCCCAGGAAGCAGAATAGAATCCAGTGGAGGTTGTGTAGCACAGTACATGTCTCAGAGAAGAGCTTAGCAGAGAAAGGAGAAAGCACAGAATGTTACTTTCATTACATGCTTCTTTTGTATTACGTCTTGTTCAATTTTTAAAATTACTGGTGCTTTTCCTAGAACGTTTTTTTCACACTTACAAGTTACTGATGCCATCTCCTTAAGCAGATGTGGCTTAGTGATAGGGACAATGCAAACATGGGGAAATGTGATCCTGTTTTGGACTTAGGGGGGAAATTAGGATTACCTTTCTGGTTTATGACTCTTACTGTATGGTTACCTGAGTACTGTGTCCCTTTGTTTGCCCCTCTGACTAGAAGATGCCGGTATTTCAGAAATGCAGAAATAGGAAATAGTTTCAATGTTACAAACAATGCTGAGACTTCTTCATGCCATGTCTCAGGTGTGGACAGGGTTGTAATCACTTTGTTACAATGGTGGGAGAAGAGCTACCATCATCATAACAAAGTGGTAGCTGTCTTTGTAAGACCTTCAGAAAATGTATGGACTTGGGTTTTAGCTTGAGTTGCTTACTTAAGTTATTGACTAGGCTTGCCTGTTAACTTTCAGCTCTGGTGAAAAAAGCTTGCATCGCAGTGGTTTAAGAATACCTTGTGTTTAAAGTTTGCTCTGCATAACAGGAAAACAGAATATTCCTTTTGCTCCACAAGGTGGCTTTCTTAGCTGAATTTCTTGAAATGGTAGATCTCAGTGTCATTCAGAGAGGTGTATTTATGAAACTGATGGTTCCTGGTTGTTTCTTGGGTGCTTTTGAACCTGACTGATGTACTAGACTTGACTAGTTACAATCTGGAATCTCATGCTTCTGAAGCCTCTGGACTGCTTGTCTTGGTAAGACTGCTTGCATGATCCCCCCCTAGGAAAGCATCTGCTTGGTTACTGGATATCATTAGCTGTTTAATCAACTGGAGCTGCCATTTTTCCACTTTTAAGTTTTTCTGGCACAATTTCAGTTCTCGTCTATGGTTGTTTATTTTTTTCTCTTGCATAGTTGTACAGTGAGAGCAGCCTGGCAAGAGGGAGAGCAAATATTTGTCCTGAAAAATGCAAGACACAGGAAATTACAGCCACTCCTGTATTTGCTAGATCGCATAAATTCCTGGTCTATAAGCATGGCTAGCTGGAAAAGGTGAATTTATATCAAATGTGTAGTGTTGTCATTGCTTTTTGGGTAGTGTTAATGACCTAGGAATTGTTCACAGGGTTATTAAAAAACTGATCACAGCAGCACAGAATATACGTAGCTGGACTGCAGTTCTTTATTGGGGAAAAATTACATCTCTATTATTGCAACAAAGGCCATCTCTGGTTTTTTTTTTTAGCCACTTCAAAGAATAGAAAATGACGTAGAATTGCTTGGAGAACACCTTCCTGTAGGAGGTTTTACCTACCCTCCCTCAGCCCATCCACCAACGTTGCCTCCCTCAGCTCCTCTTCAATTCTTAACGCACGATCCATTACACCAGGAGGTGTCATTTGGTGTAGTAAGTATTCTTTTCTATGCTACATTCTCATTCATACTGCAATAGCATTCTGGATCTTTATTCTGTAGTACGTTTTGTTCAAAAATGGCACTTTATGCGGACGTGTTCCATTATTGGTGTAGCTGCATACTGTGGTATTTTCTTAAGTTTGTGTTTATCAAGTTAAGGGTAATTTGACAACCACCAGCAAATTATTTTCGATAACATTATCTGCAGAGTGTAGCAGCATTTACTTAGAAAACATTCCATGTTGTCACACAGTCCAGGACTTCTACAGCAGAAACTGATTAGTACAGTTTATAAAAGCTGTTGTGACCTTCAGCTAATCCTTCATCATAAGTCATATGTTGAGTTTCCACAAATCAGGAAGGCCAGAATGCTTTAAAAACAGTTCTTCTCTGCAAGCAGTTGTACAGAGAGCTTCCATAATTTAGACCACGCTATGTTTTAAAGGTAGCTATGTCACAAAGCTTGCTTTGAGCCAGCTTCCTGGGCACCTACAGGCAGTTCATCTGCAGCAGCACAAAAAACTATTAAACCTGATGCAGGATAAAGTCCGTGTTGAATTTTTGTTGAATTGTGTGCTTCTGTGGTGTTTCCTGTGGTGCTACCTCCAGGATCTTTGTGTTGTACTTCAGCCTGCAATTACGTTAGTCTTGCCCGTGTGATACTCAAAGAAATAACTAGAAGTCAGGTAAAGGTGCTGAAATTTTTTAATGTTTGACTTGTGCGTCAAGTTGACAGAGGTTTTAGAGGCTTAGAGGTTTATAGTTATTTAAAATTTAAATGAGAATGACATTTCAGGCCCTGCAACTGCAGAATATACAGATAGCTTGTCTTAGTCTCCTTGATCACAGAATCTAGTCAAATGCTTGCTGTGATCTTTATAAAGGTTCAAATAAGTTTCCAGCATTTAAAAAACTCTTCAGTTTTTTAATTAATCTGAAGGTGTACAGATTTTCAATTAAGTTTTCAGTCACCATGAGTTGCTCTGGAGACGAAGACACTTAAAAGCTTCTGTAAACTGCTTGTATTTTATTCAGTATTCTTGTTGGATTAATTAGTCTAATCACAAACATTTTGGTTGGAGTGAGGCTTTCTTGATTTCCAAGTTCAGTTGTTAAAGTAGATAAGGAACGTAAAATTTTTTGCAGATTGTAGCATTTGTCCTCTCTGATGCTTCAGTACTGAGGAGTAGAATAAATATATATTACAAGTAATCATGTGGTCTTTTATACAGCAATCCTAAATCTTTATAAAGCTTTATTTATATTAACATTATAATGGTATGGCTGCATTTCTGATTCTCTTTCATTCAGTGAACACGATAGATTCTGATTACATTTTTGGATTGCAGAATTGACAAAGCAGAAAAACTCATGTTGGATATGTCTAGTCTGAAACTTCCAAGCAAAAATACCCTGGCTCTTTTGCATTGTGTTTGTATGCATATGTTAATTTTATCTTTGACCATGGCTACCTACTAAAAAAGTTTCCATTGTAAAATAAGAGGATTTTAGGTTAGTCGTTGTTGGTGGTGGCCTTTTGTGCTTTCAGATTTCAAACATGAAAGAAGAAAAACATCTTACTAAAGACTTTGAGTGTTCTTTGTTTCAAAAAAAAAGTTTCAAGGCCTTGAAATGTGAATTCAATAGGAGTACATGATTTTCAGTTGTAGAAAATACTAAAAAATTTTAACAAAACAAGGATGACAAAAAAAGCCCTGATTTATCCCTGGAAAGAAACCATTGAAGCTTTAGGCTTTGAATGTCTCTTCAGATGTGGTTCAGCTGCAGAAACTGTACTGATTAAACTTTCCATGTACACTTGAAAGGCTGCAACACTGTAACGTAAATGTAAATATATACTACTACTTAAAAGATGGGCTTTCTAAAAAAATAAAATAAAATAAAATTCGCTATTTGAAGACTTTTCTAAGGGCTTCTTTACTCAACCATTTTTGCACAGGCCTGCATAATAGCACCTGGGCTTTTATATTTACAAGATAGTCAGCACTTCATGTCCTGTTTCCCAAACTATCCTGCATATAGACTAAAAACACCAGAACTTCCAAGGATTTCTGTTGTATATTACCACTTTTTCACATGGAATGGTATGACTGTACATTATAGATAGGAATAATTTCAAATTGAGACCAAGGTTCTTTTGGATTTGAGCAGAGACTGGATTTTTTAAATAATACTTTATTAAAAGTGAATTTCAGTACTGAGAGAGGAGATTTTAAGAAAAGAAAGTGTTGAATCACAGGCTCACATACTGGATGAGGTTGGAAGGGAGGTCATCTGGTCCAACCCCCCTGCTCAAGCAGGATTGAGCTGACTGCTCAGGACTATGTCCAGCCTGCTTTTGAGTATCTCCAAGAAAGGAGACTCCACCACCTCCCTGGGCAACCCGTGCCAGTTCCCAGTCACCCTCGTGATAAAGAAGTGTTTCCTGATGTTCAGACGGAGCCTCCTGTGTTTCAGTCTGTGCCCAGTGTCTCTGGTCCTGCCACTGGGCACCACTGAAAAGAGCCTGGCTCCGTCTTCTTTGCACCCTCCCTTCAGGTATTTGTATACATTGATAAGATCCCCCTGAGCTTTGTCTTCTTCAGGCTGAACAATCCCAACTCTCTCAGCCTTTTCTCACGCGTGAGATGCTTCAGTCCCCTCCTAGTGACCCTTTGTTGGACTCTCTCCAGTATGTCCCTGTCTGTCTTGTGGTGGGGAGCCCAGAACTGGACACAAGTTCCAGTTCCACAAGTTCCAGTTGAAGCTTATTTTCTTCTTTCTTGCAGCCTTACCCACCTTTTATGCCTCGAAGACTCACAGGGCGCAGCAGATACCGATCACAGCAGCCAATACCACCACACCCTTACCATCCCAGCCTATTACCTTATGTGCTGTAAGTGTAAAGTACATTTGCTTCCATATAGGCTGTTAAGTCATGTGACTTTCAACAGGCATCTTGGCACTTTTTATGGTTGGTCTCTCTGCCAGAGACCAGGCACAGTTCATCTGTCTCAGAGGAAAACTTTCATTTCTGTGTAAATTTTTCAGCCTGTTTTGAATAGCATACACCCTTGAGCAAGGAAAAATATAAGTGAACAATTTTTGTCCAATGTAGTTTTTTAGGTATTTTGAGGCACTGTTTCTGAACTCTTCCTAAAATCTTGACCAAATTCTAAATCTTGGATATGTGATGCTCTTACAGAGACGTGGTGACACTGTAGGATCAAGTCATAGGAGTCTTCACTTAGAGAATAAATTAATTTGGTTTGGTTCTTAATTATGAAACAGAAGAGTGAGAGCTTTCTGTGATGTGTTCAGACTTTATAGGCTGAACTGCTACTCTGTTACAGCTGTTAAATTTCTGTTCTGCCTCTTTAGCTGTTTTGTAAAAGATGTGGGACAGTTAACGTTCAGAAATTAGCTATAGTGTGTTATGGCAGACTTTCTGTGAGGCAGTTTGGGTCTATGACATGAAATTTATTAGTCTTCTATGTTCTGTTTTGGAAGTAAGTATGAAATGTTTGGAAAATGAAAATTAAGTTTCTGGTGGCAAAGTTGACATTGACAAGGAAATAATCAAATATTGACATCAGATCTGTAGTTTCTCTGTGCACAATGTCAGATGTGGCATGAAAATGGCACCAGAAATCTGTTCCAGCAAAGTTGTTCAAGTTTGCATCTTCCAGTCTGAGAGTAATGTCATAGCTTCTTGCCTGTCTGTAGAAGACACAATGTGGCACAGGAATTCCTGATGACTTCAGTGGGGTTTTAGTATATTTTAGTGCTTTGAATTTTTGATTTCTGTGTGTGCCTTAAGTTTTGACCCATAGTATATCTTGGGGGGTAAAAACATTTATTGAATATACAACTAGAAAAACATCTCATACCTATCTGAAGGGATTCTGCATTAACCAACATCACAGTATGTGAATTTGTGCTTGACTTCAGTATGGAAGTTGGTCCAGTAGCAGATCCTGTCTATCTTCATTGTGTGTTTTAGGCTTACAAAAGTTGCAAGACTTTTGTGTTGGAGAGCTAAGTGAACTTAGGGTTCTTTTTCTTTGATAGCATTTTATCCACTTAAAGAAATAACACATATTTAGAACAAAAATGTCAATTTCTTTTTAGTTTTAACTCTCCACAGTCTGTGATAATTAAGAGATTAATTTTTGTAATAAAGCTGAGCTTGGTTGAAAGTACCAAGTGAGACATGCATGCAACTGAAAAGTCAGCACTCCCAGTAACAAAAAGTGGCAGAATTAGCTTTTTCCTGTGACTCTTTCACTTCAAATGTCTGCTCTTGACTTCAAACATAACATTTTTACCAGTTTTGGTAACATGTTGATTTAAGAGACATCAATAAGGTAGCTTTACCTCTGCCAGATATTTCTGTGCTTTCCTTCAGCAAGATGCTGAACCTTATCCTTGTTTGCTCTCGTGGTAGATCAATGCTCCCAGTGCCACCTGCAGTTGGACCAGCTTTCAGCTTTGAGTTGGATGTGGAAGATGGAGAGGTAGAAAACTATGAGGTTGGTGTGTGAACTACAACTGCTTTTAATGACATTAGCTCAAGCAATAGATAAAATTTTATTATCTTTTGCTTTTAATCCTGGTTTTGCCTTTCAAATAAATGTACTGACTGTGAAGATGGAATCAAAAACCATACTTTCAGATTTTTTTTGTAATACTGGATATTAGAAGTGCTTAGCTTTCTTTCTTGTCTATTATGGTTTCCCAAAATCCACCTTTCCAGGCTAGTAATCATTAAATTGTTCAGCTTTTATGCTCTACATGCTACTATTCTCCTTTCAAATTTTGATTTTAAATACCTAACAGAAGTGAAGCACTTTCAAAAGAACAGGGTAAGTCACTGGGTTTGTGTGTGTAACTTTCAGAATAGTGTTAATCCAGAATAGTTTTAATCTCATAGGATTGATTAATCTAAGTGTAATGTTTATAAAACTGCCTTACTCCCTGTTCTTCTTGGCCCTCAGGAGAGTGTGGTAGTTCAGATCTAGAGATGTAGAACCCTCTTAAATATCCTTGATAATTATGGGGCAGTTCCAACTGTTGTGTCTTTGCTGATTGATTCCATTTGATTTCTCTTCAGTCAGTTATCAACCCAACCCTGACTTTTGCATCTCTCTGCCTGTGTTCCCCTTAAGATCTCTGTGTAGATGGACATTTTTATTTTAACAGTGAGCACTTCTGTAATAACTTCTGTGTTGGTTCAGAAGAAGCAACATCTGCTGAGAATTTGAGCCCTAGGTTCAACAGTATAAAAACTCTCTGTGATCAGTACCATTTGCAGCTTTCACAGGACCTTTTAACTTTTCTGTGCTTTGGTTTTCTGTCACATTTATTGTGATGTTTTACCTAGATCTCTTGTGAAGAAGTGTGAGTTACATATATGACAGACTGCCAATTATGTAAATGAGAGGATTTTACCTGCAATGCTTGGTTTATAGAAAATTAAAAATTTGGCAGAAAAAAAAGCACTTAAAATTTGGTGGTATGTATTTGTTGTCCAGATTGAGGATAAAATCTCCGTATTTTAATTCAGCTAGCCCAAGACATGGAGTGGAAATCAGAAACTGTGTCCCATTAAATTGCTGATTTCTCTCACAAGAGGAGACTCACATATTCTTAGGGAGGAAATTAGTTGACAATTTCTGGTTACCAGCGCTGTTAATTTCATAGCAGGGTGAGGGGATCCCTCAGAAGCAAATTATTTACTGAGCTGTGCATGCAGCCATAGGACTAATTGGAAGTTGGGTTCTGGACGTTCTGAAATCCCAAAGATAATACTTTACATAATTACAAAAATGGTTAAGTTTTGAAAGACTTTCCGTGGAGCTTGTATCGTATCAGAAAACTAAGGTTCTAAACATTTCTTGATAGAAGGGTGTTTTGTGCTACTAGCTGGGGTAGTGAGGTGTGATGATAGCCCCAAATCTAGTGAAACCAGAGCCAGTGAATTTTTAAATGTCCAGTTTCCATGTTTTGCAGGCACTGCTGAATTTGGCAGAACGTCTGGGAGAAGCCAAACCACGGGGATTGACAAAAGCAGACATTGAACAGCTTCCATCCTACAGATTCAATCCAAACAATCACCAATCAGAGCAGACACTGTAAGTATATTGGTCTCTTTCAAAGGTCCATAATTTAAGTGGCTTGATTTTTATTTCTTTAACTTGCAGCCTCAGCTAGGTCAGAAGGGCTTTTAACAGCAGTCATGTCAGTAAGCTTTTTAAATTTTCTTTTTTTCTTGGTGTGCTTTCCAATACTGTTTATTCTTGCTTTAAAACTTCTTATCTAGTCTTGCATAATTTAGCTATGTTTCATTTAGTTCCTCAGCATTTAAAAAAATTAAATGGAACTGAGGTGTTCTAGGTTCAGCAACTAAACATTAAAGTGACATTGTCAGCTTGGACATTGTTAGCTTCTGTTAAAATAGCTTCAAGTGTTGGAAGTTTGAAGTTCTCTTGGTAGAGCTTGGTCAGTGGTTTAGGAGTGCATCTTCTTATTTTTAAAACCCCTTAACTTACTGGGTTTGTAGGATCTGCACAATCAAGTGGAAAGGGCAGTATCAATATGAAGGTAGTTTAAGTGACTTAGTATCAAATACTATCTAATGTTTGAACTTCAGCATAAGGATTTTTCTCTGATCCGTGACCTTTGGTGTGACTTAAAAGCATCAGTAGGGAGAGATCTTTGGAGATTATTATTTCTGCTATTTTAGATTTTGGTAAAATGTCTGTTCTGTTGTATTGGTTGCATCTGTGAGCTCCCATGAGCTGGAGCACTTGCTTTGTGATTTGAAAGCACAGTAAAAAAAAGAAACCCCACCCACAAAACCCCACAGAGTCAATTCTCAGTTTGTTGTTAGATACAGATCACTGTAGCTACTGAAGAAGTAAAATAGCTACCGTGTCACAGTCATACCTGTAAGGTTTTGCATGGAATTATGTGTTTGTTGTTCTTAAGTAGCAGATACACTTGAACTTTGTTGTCTTTTTTCAGATGCGTGGTGTGCATGTGTGATTTTGAGTCAAGGCAGCTACTTAGAGTCTTACCCTGTAACCATGAGTTCCATGCCAAGTGTGTTGATAAATGGCTGAAGGTAAGAAAAAATAATCCTATCTTATATGAAATTCATTAGTTAGTTTTGGGGGAGAGAGTGGAGGTATTTTGCTGTTCCACTTACATTTCATCTTGTTTTATGTTTCTGATACGTAGGCTAAAAATGCCAGTAGAGTGGAAGCACTGCCTAAATAGGGTATTTTTCTAGTAATGGTTGAAGGTTGCTTCTGTATAATCTTTGGCACAAGGGAAAATGAATACGAACAGAATTATTTTCATTGACAGATCTTACTATGTTTTCCATTTCTTTAGAACAATGACAGTGAATTTGAGTAATATGTGATATTGAAGACTTGGAAAAAACGTAAATAATACAGAAAGTGTGATGTAGAGTTTCATGATGATGGTGGCTTTAACTGTTCTACGTAGCTTGCCTAGCAAGAATGAGTACCAATACCTTTCCTTCCACATTTTGCTATTAATATTAGTTTCTGAGGCAAATAACATGTGTTAATGCGTGTATGTATATGTGTATGCGTATGTACAGAAATTTAATATATGCAAATAGAAATTATAGTTTTACAATATTACATACCCATCCAAGAGAATTTGAGCAAAAAAGAAAGGCTCTAGAATCGGGAGAGCCCAGTAAGAGCACAGATTAAATAGCAGCAATGCAGAAGATGTGAAGAACAAGAAATACAAATAAGTAGATGATGACAGACATTTCTACAGGGCTGCATTTAGCCAGATCTACTGTCAAAGAGGAATTGATTCCCATCTTCCCTCAGCTTTTTTCAGTATTTTATTCTATTCAGCTTTGATCTGTGTGTAGTTTGTTGCATGGAACATTGGGAACTGCAATGATCCTATGTTGATATGGTCCCTAGAGAATTACAGATGATGTCAGTTGTTTTGGAAGAAAAAATTAAATGCCTTTATGACATCATAAAACTGGGAAAATACATATCTTAGGCATACACTAAAATATTCAGAGAAAGAAAAAATCAAGTTAATATTGACAGCATTCTTTTGGCTAACAAGATACCAAGAATAATGAGAGGGGCTTTAAAAAGTAGGATATGAAATTGCCCTTGAGCTACCCTTGGTAGGCTAGGTCTAAGGCTCCTACTAAATCCAGGGTCAGTAAATATTTCTACAACAGTGGTCATAACTTTCATTAGAACAGGTGTCCTTCAGTATCTGAATCCACATACATGCTCAAGAATCAGCAAGAGGAATCTAAAGTAGCGTTCTTCAGTGTCCCCCTACTCTTCTTGAGCAGTGTTCTACTACGTGTGTCAGTATTCTCACTGCATGAAACTTCATAAGTCAGTTGTGGTGTGGACATTAAGTATCCAGGGATAGCATTCACTCCATTTTATGAAAAAAAAACTAAGATCATTTGACACAGCCTTTGAGATAGTGGACACTATAGGTCTATACAGGTTAAGTTGATTATGTAAACTTTTTTAAAACCAACTCTTTCCAGGCTATTAATGCAAGAAAACATACCTCTGATTCATAGAATCCCTGATCTGCAGATTTCTGGAAGTTAGAGGAACATGTCAGAGAAGTATCATGCACGCTTGTCTTGTTCTTAGTGCTCTTTTGTACCTGACATTGGACTCAGGAATCAGACAAGTATGTTGAGTTATGCTTTTTTGGGACTCTGCGTGGTACTTTTAAAGTTAGAGTTAGTCCTTTCAAGTGGTAATGAACTGGGAATAGAATTTGGAACTATAAAGTGAAAAAAGTGGATTTAATTTAGTCTGTTTTCATAATCATAGATGTACTATAGTAGTGGTGAAATAGCTTTACTGATGTTCCTGTCCTGTTTTAGAAACTGCATTTTCTAACAGATCATCCCATGGTATTTTCTAAAGGTTGTCTTTAGAATGAGGTGTAAGGTATGCAATCAAACCCTTTAAAGGGCTGCAGTTAAACCTACTGAAACTGCTTGCATTGACATCATGTGTTCCAGAGCTGAGTGCACAATAAGCGAGACAAGGTTAAACCATCACCAAGTAGGGTTGCTAAGACAGTACTTTTACACTATTTGGGTTCAGTTACAGCAGTAGAAAGATGGTATATATAAGATTATTTTACTCTGCAAGCTGTAACAAATTACCTGTAACAGCAGTCTATTTTAGTTACAGCCTCTGTCTAACCTCGTTTATAGTTAAGCAGCCAACATCTGGAAGTTAGGATAACTGAAAGATATTTTGAGCTTTAGTTTTGTTTCTTTCCATTCCTTTATGAATTTGACAACTTTTTTAATGTGTTGATTGTATAATTATGTCCAGATCCACTTAATTCATGTCATCCAGCCAACATCATGTTGATAAACTCTGCAAGGGAAAATAGAAATCATAGCTTTCAGTACTTGTGACATTTTTCAACAAGGTAAAAAAAGAAAAAAGTTACCAGTTTGTCACTGTGTTTTACTGATTTGACCTTGTCTCTTTGAAGAAAGTATTTGCTATTTAGGAATATTTCTAGAACTATGGAGTCGAGTTGATTCTTTTTTAAGTTTCATCATGTGTCATCTTAGTGAAAGATTTAAATAAAAGGTTAGTGATCCAATCTGATTATTTAAAAAAAAATTCTGATTCTGCTGCCTGTTGGTAGTGATAGAGGGGAAAAAAAGCTATCTAACAAAGTTTTGTGGCTTGTATGCATGAAATATATGATCTGCCTAGCTGCTATAATGCTATATACAGTACTACTTTTTTGGGTAACATGAACAAGTGAGAGAAAATGTCCTATAACAGTCTGTTAGGCTGCCCAGTTTAATTAATAGTTCCCTGGTCAAGCAGGTTTAAAGACTTATGAGAGAAGATCTAATACAATGGAGGAAACAAGAGGAAAGTTATTCTTTAGCTTTTCATAGTATTGTCAATTCTCATATTTCACAGTATTTGTTCATTTATTATCCTAGATCCTTTAGTCAAATATGAGTACATGGGAAATCTGTTCTTCTATGAAGTAACAGTCATCATCCCAAAGGAAAACTTGACACTGACCTGTTTTCACCTAGGGGGTTTAGAACCAGCTTAAAAGAACTACTTGCCTTTTTATTTAATGGTCTGGTAGGAAATGCGGTATTATATATGAGAAAAGACAAACTGTAACTATACTTTGGCTTATTTCTGATGGACTAACACCAAAGTAGTGCAGTGGTTTTTTAGAGTATTTCAGTAGCTCTATAGTTTTACTATTTTAAATGCAGTTCACTTTAACTATAAATTTCTATAAAATAAAAAAAAAAATAAGTAGATTAGTTTGTTGTGCAGCAGTCTCTCATTACAGTACAAAAAGTAAATCTACCTGAGAGAGTGGCAAGTTAAAAGGTCAATATTACCTTACTCCTCTTTTGACACCATAGAAGTCATTTTAAATGCCGGGAAGGGGGAATTATTTATTGAAAGGCACAAAAATGCAACTAAATTTAAAACAGATGTTCGTGTAGGATCTTGAAAAGTTGCTAGAGGAGTAGTGGTGTGGTGTCCATGAGTATTCATTTTATCCTGGCACAGTAAGTTTACTTCTGCAATTCCTATCAGGAAATTGCTCCCACTGAATGCTGTTCTGTGGTACAGATGGTTCCTACTTCATTGTTGACCTAAGTGAATAGCTCTTGATTCATTAATCCATTGCATTTTGAAGGACATGCCTTTTTATTTTAAAAATTATATTAGCCAGATTGTATCTAGAATCATGCACATAAAATGAAGTGACCAAATAATGACGTTGTCCTCAAGTATATTTCAAAACTGCTAGTTATAGAGAAATAAATTTTTGTTTCTCCAATCCATGCTTTACAAAACCAGTGATAACAGTAGTAATTGACAGAAAAATATAGCCTCATTTTAACTTGCATTACTAAATAATGTTTTTCAGTAAAAACTTGTTACTTTCACTGGATTTAGTTACTGTTTGGATTTGAGATTTGTGACAGCAAGTTCTAAATTCTGGCCTATAGAGCCACATTGTATTGATGCTTGTCACTTGTATTTTCATTGAAAATTTTGGTTTCCTTAGAAAGACTTGGAATTGACAGTGGTTGGTCCTGCAGTTTTTGTAACTATGAAATATAGAATCTGGAGCAGGGAAGGGTTCCCTTCACTCTGCCCTTTGCAAAGGAAATGTTTAATCATAGATGTTGTGTGTTTGTTTGGGGCTTTTTCTCATCATTGGTTAAAATGAAATTAGCCATTATTTGAAAAGGGGAATGAGAAGGCAGAAATACTTTCCCAGTAGCTTAAGGCATGTTACTTCTCATCTGTCTTATTTTTTAAGGAAGCTATAAAAGTAAATGAGTCACAGGACATGTTTTCAGTGTGTGCTTTACTGAAGAGCCAAATCTAGACCTGCTGGTGCGTTACTTGAATACCTGTTTAGTCAGGTCATCTTCTCTTTGTGTAACTTTCTTGTTTTAATTCCCCTTTCCCTTTACTAAAACCCCTTGCCTTTTTCCCTGGTTTGCTTTCAGCTTTGACCAAACCTATATGATGTTTTTCTGTGACAGTAACTGAATAAACAAAGCTTGATGTCATGCCTGATCAGTAGAGCTTGTGACAACATGACACCCTCCCCACAAGATGTTTATTTGCAGCCCAAGGTGGCTCATCTTGTTTCATTGGGTTTTGCTGCAGCACACAGTACTGCTTCTTGGCTGCATCCATCTGATGGCAATGTACCATAGCTGTGAGTCTGCATTATTAAAACCACCGTCACTTAGACAGAGCCCGTTTGTTGTTTCGCTCGATCTTTAAAGATAAAAGTCACAATTAACTTTTTTCTTGTGAACGATTTTGAATCGGCAAACTCTCCACACCACTCCTAACATAACAAAACAAACTAAAAAAAGGCATAAGCACACTTTGTCTTCCCTCGTTTAGGGTACTCTTGAACTGCTCTTCACCAGTCACAGATGTGAGTGTCACGTTACTTTAGCAATGTGTTTGTCAGTCCAGTAACCCCTCCTGTTTTTCTGGTTTTACAGGCGAATCGTACCTGCCCGATTTGTAGAGCTGATGCTTCGGAAGTGCATCGTGATTCAGAATGACCAACCTAGGAGCACAAATCTGGTTTGGGTGTTTCTGGTCACATGTATATATGAACTCTCTATTGAACTTACCCATGTGGCTTCCAGCCTACCCTTTACACAAAAGGGTCAATGGACCTTACTTTGCACTGTGTGACTTAATCAATTATAAAGCTTATAACTAGTCTTCACAGTTACGGGATTGTTATACTAACAGTGTGATTGGAACTCCAAAGATTTTTTTTTTTTTTTTAGCTTAATTTTGTGTGTGCACTAACATTCCCTGGGTTCTGTGTGATCATTCCGAGTATTGCTGCGAGATTACTGTGGATGTGATCTTTTAGCATGTGCTTTTATAGGAAAGAAAAAGGAGAAAAAAAAAGTGGTAGCTCCAAACAATATAGCAATCTACCTTATATAGAGCCTTCAGATACTGTGAGTGGGAGTGAATGGTGTGTGTGTGTGTTTGCCTGTGAGAGGATGTGTGAAGTGTGCCTGTGACTGAGTGTGCCCGTGTGTTTGAGAACCTATATACCAGCATGTACTGAGAACGTATGTGTGTAGTAATAATTATGCTGCAATGTATAATCTTGTGTGTTATTTAAACAGTACTAGTACTGTACACTGGTTCCTTTCCTTGTGTTTGCAGTTGCACACTGAATGCGATGGGTGCAGCAATTACAGACATTTAGTATTTCCTCCCCAATGTACTTACAGGTGTAAAGACCTTTCTACCTACTATTCAAACAGCTGTTATGCTTCCCCTTCATTGGAGGCTTTAAGTGTGTACCACTAAAGAATGCATTGATTGTTCATACATGAGTAACCTTGGGGTTTTTATCATATGTTACAAAGTCTGGATTTTTAAATGGCTGATTTACAAGTTATTTTATCAATGTAGAGTTGCAATATCGCATTTAGCAATATTAACATTTTCGATTGCTAATATGAATATCAATGTTCTTCTGTTTTCCCTTTAAATTTTTCTAGCTGGGTTTGCCAGTTATGTGTTTCTTCCATGAAAGGAATCAGAAAGGACACTGAGGCTCTTGTGGAACAGCTCTTAACTTTTGGCCATTGTACTTGCTAAGGTCATCAACTTTTAGCTTATATACATACATTCTTTGTCACCTACGAGGGAGTTTGTATGTAACTAAAATAACTTGTAAAAGGTTACAATTTTATTCATTCCTGCAACTTCATGAATAAAATACAATTTTTAGCATTTTCTCAGAGAAGTAAAATTTTATATTTTTTTCATTGTATCAAAAGAGAAGGTAGGTTTTGGTCATTAACTGCAGAATTCAGTTGCCCTGATGCTGCTTCTTGCCCTTCCTTATTTAATGGCGAGTGTAAATGGAAGAAGGAATTCCCTCCATTTTTGCAATCAAGTTTCCAGAGCACTCCGCTATAGGAAAAAATGGAACACCTTCCAGAACAGTGCTGTGAAATAGAAGGGGATAATCTCTGTTCAAGTGCTCGGAATAATATTTTACTTGGGCTGTTGATAAAAAATTAGCTTTCTATGTAATGTTCACACTGTTAACATCTCTGATACGCTTTAGCAGAATATTTAGGACTGCATACACCACAGTTATTAAAAGGATGCACTTTTTGCAATTAAATTCTTTTCGTAAGTTCAGTGTCATTACTTTGGTTGCAGCAGCACAAGTGGCACAATTACCAGTATTGCTACAACTTGCTGCCAGTCTCAGCTTTAAGTTATTCTTTATCATGTCTTATGCTTTTGTATGCTGCTATGCTTTAGTATCAGTTATAATTTCTAACAGTGTTAGATGATCTCCATGCTGGTTTTCCTCTTTGAAGATTCTGCAGACCAGTCACAGCTCTTGGTGCAGCTAAATAAAAGCACAATTTTGCCCTATTTCAGATGCTTTTCCCTCTGTTTAGTTATGCAGGTAGTTCTCAAAAACAGTCAAGCTTTCTATACCTATCCATACTTAGGAACACTAAATAAATAAAAATGCTGTTACATCAACTTCAAAATAATAGAATTTCTCCTCTCTTCTGTGGAGTTAAAGAATAGGCTTTTCACAGTAGCACCTAGCAGGTTAAATTACATGTAATGAAGTTTATTTTTTTAACAAATAAAATCATGTTGTTTAGAAAGCATATGCCACGCATGTCTTACAAAACTTAGGCTCTTTTATATAACTGCAAAAGAAAAAATTCTGTGTGTACAGATTTAAACATGACTAACACTACTGTGCTTAATATTCAGTTCGAAGCATGGAAAGAGGGTACTTTTTCTAAACTTGATTCAAGTAAACAAGACACATTCTTCTGAAGCCAAGGGGAAGTAGTTCTCTTTCTGGAACCGAAGAAATGTCCCTTTCCCCCCACTAAAATTCTCTGAGGCGGTGGGAGATCTAGGAGATGGAGGGACTGAGTTGGTAAAATGCTGAAATTAATTGTTGCACTGTTATGGCTCATCTCTTCTGGAATGGTTCTTTGGTTTGCATGGGACTCTTGCAGATGAATGTGGACTTGCTTCCCGTGGTTAGTGTACAAACAGCACACATGCTTACGTTCTGAATCAGCTCAGACAAGCCACAACCACATCCTCGCTGTGGTGGCTGTCAAGGGAGGGGATTCATGTTCAGCTGTGAACTGCCATATGTTATGCACAGCCTGCCATGGTGCCTGACAGCACCTGAATTCAGCAACACTTTTTTGTGTTCATTGCCTTTCTGCTATCCACTGACTCTTTCTTCTCCAAAAAAAAAAAACAAACAAAAAAATACAACCCAACCTCTAATATGTTTGCTTTATCATATTGGCACTGCTGTGTTTTTTTTGCATAAACTGTCAATTTAATTTGACATTTTAGTGGATATCAAGGCCTACAGATAATTCCAGTGTCTCATTTTGTGGCTTTCTTTACAAAAAGAAGTAAGGCCATGTATCGTATGTCATTTTGTACAGGCTCTTGAATGTGAGTTCACAGTCCTTAATATATTGCATAATACTTGGGATGAGATTTACCAACTGTTTTAATTGTAGAAAACATTTTTGACTGAGTTATCTTTGGGCCTTTGTAAAAGCTGTGGTTTTTTCCTTTGGTACATTGTTACCTCATTTTGTTACTTGTGTTTCAGATTTGCTAATTATTATGAAAGCTTATGGGTTTTGTTGGAATCATATTTTGTTAAGTGTTTTCTTTAAATCATATGCTATTGTATCATTTAACATGTAGTTTTAAATGTATTATAAATATCTGTAACCAAATCATTTGAAGGCTTGATAAATTTTTAACAAAATTTGTACATTTTTTATGAGAGTTACTAGTAATGCTTTACTAGGTAGTGCAATGAATTTTTATTTTTAATCCCTGTGCCCAATTTTGGAGTTGAGAGAGTTGTTCAGTAATAAATGTATGATGTACACTTACACAATTTCGTCCTGCTCTTTCTCTTAGAGGTGTATTGTCTTCTGTTACTGTGTATATTTCTGTGCACGATCACACAACTGGAAATATTGGCAGCAGCCACTTGTGTTGTAGGGGAAAGCTTTGCCTCCCTGACTGTAGGAACATTTAGCAACATTTTTTTTTTTTAATCTGAGAGAGCGTAAGGAGCTGGTATGGAATCCTGTGTCATATTTTTAAAAGTGTGAGAATTCATAGGACTCAAAGCCTTGCCTAAAAGGTCAGCTTTCTAAGGGTGTTATCTGCTGCTCCAGCTGGATCCCTACAAATCTATGGGGCCTGATGGGGTTCATCCCAGAATCCTCAAAGAGCTGGCTGATGTCATTGCAAAACCTCTCTTGATGATTTTTGAGCAGTCTTGGGAATCCAGAGAGGTCCCAGCTGACTCGAAGCTGGCAAATGCTGTCCCGATTTTCAAGAAGGGCAAGAAGGAGGACCCTGGAAACCACAGGCCTGTCAGTCTCAATTCAGTGCCTGGTAAAGTTATGGAGAAGATTATTGTGGAGGGTGTTGGAAAACACCTGAAAGACAGCACAGTCATTGGTCACAGCCAGCACAGCTTCATGAGAGCAAATTCCTACTTATCCACCCTGATTTCCTTTTATGACAAAGTAACCCCCTAGCTGATCAAGGGAAGCCAGTTATTGTAGTCTTTTTGGGTTTCAGTAAAACCTTCAATCCTGTCTCTCACAGTGTCCTTCTAGACAAACTGTCCAGCCCACAGCTGGATAAACACATCATGTTCTGGGTGAGCAATTGGCTCATGGGTCGAGCACAGAGGGTGACAGTGAATGGGGTGACATCAGACTGGTGACCTGTCACTGGTGGGGTTCCACAGGGCTCCATGTTGGGCCCTGTGCTCTTCAACATCTTCATAAATGACTTTGAAGCAGGAAGAGATACTAAGTTTGCTTATAACACTAAATTGGGAAGAGCTGTTGAGTCCCTTGAGGGCAGAAAGGCCCTGCAGAGAGACCTCAACACATTGAAGGTCTGGGTAATCACCAACCATAGGAAGTTCAATGAGGGGAAGTGCTGGATCCTGCACTTGGGATGGGGCAATGCCAGATGTTTGTACAGACTGGGGCATAAGATGCTGGGAAGTAGTGCCAGGAAAGGGACCTGGAGGTCCTGGTCAATGGCAAGTTGAATCTGAGTCAGCAGTGCCCTGGCAGCCAGGAGGGCCAACCCTGTCCTGGGGGCATCAGGCAAAGCATCACCAGCCGGGCAAGGGAGGAGATTGTCCTGCTCTGCTCTGACCTGGGGCAGCCTCACCTTTAATATCATGTGCAGTTTGGGCACCACAATGTAAGAAAGATAAGAAGGTGTTAGAGACTGTCCAAAGGAGGGCAGTGAAGATGGTGAAGGGCCTTGAGGGGAAGCCGTGTGAGGAGCAGCTGAGGGCACTTGGTCTGTTCAGCTGGAGAAGAGGAGACTGAGGAGAAAGCTCATTGCAGTTACAACTTCCTTGGGAGGGGAAAAGGAGGGGCAGGCACTGATCTCTGTGGTGACCAGTGACAGGACCTGAGGAAACTGCATGAAACTGAGTCAGAGGAGGCTTAGGTTGGGTATCAGGAAAAGTTTTTTCACCAAGAGGATGGTTGGGCACTGGTACAGGCTCCCCAGGGAAGTGGTTATGGCACCAAGCCTGTCTCAGTTCAAGAAGCATTTGGACAATGCTCTCAGGCATATGGTTTGATTCTTGAGGATGGTCCTGTGCTGGACCGGGAGTTGAACTTGGTAATCCTGATGGGTCTCTTCCAACTCAGCATATTCTATGATTCTTTGAATTACTGCGTCCATAAAACTCAGTGCTTTTTCAAACGTGCAAATAAAATGGGAGTCATCAGTTCTAAAATATATATTCTGCCTAACACAGTCTTATGTGCTGGCTTTTGCAGTGGATTGCACTGTGCCACTTGTACCCTACTGTGTCTCACAGTGCAGTTTTCTGTTCTGAAAGAACTCATGTACCACCAGGCTCCTAAAACAAAATTTAGCAGATTTTCATTTTGAAATGGACGTCTGTGATAGGTGAAGCACCATCTTGTCACCCCTAGAAGAGTCTTAAGTTAACTGCTGTGCAGATGCCCAAGCAACACAGTCTTCCATGACAAATATCCTGGGAGATACTCCATGAAGCTCCTTCTAGCTCACTATTTCTCCCCATAGATTTGTGTGTCCAGGAGAATCATGTTGACCAAACCATGTTTGCTAGGGTTTGAAGGATGTTTGGTTTTGAGAGGCAGTTATAGAAGGAATATGGGGACAGAATTTAAGAAGCAGTTCAGAGCTTTTTGAGTACTAGGAACCTGGGCCATCATAAAGTCTTACTCAGTAACTGAAGATAAACTGGTGAGCTCAACAAGTGAAACAAGAAGGAACTGTACTCAAAACAAGGAATGGAAATCTTTTTTATGTGTGCAACAGACTAGTAATGAAATAAGAGACATAGAGCATCATATTTATATGGCCTACCATCTTAAAAAAAGGACCCTTAACAGTTAGCTGTGATAGTTTTGCATAGTAATTAGAAATTATTTCTATAAAAATTAATAAAATAATGATGCTAATTGAAAGAGGTGCTGTTAGAACACCCGCTTTTGCAATATCTGAAGTATTGGTTCTCTTACAACTTGCTCTTGCTCTGCATTTTACTGACCTGCTGTTAATCACAGACCATATCCCTTCTGTGTACAGAGGATTATCACTACTCCATTGCAACATATGCTTCCCTTCTAAATCGAGTCCAACACTGAGAGCCAGGAGCACTTTGGACCTGTATGATTGTGTTTTACCTGGCCTTATAACATTTAGCTATGTTATTTTCCTTCTGAAGAGCAAGGCCAAATTAAAAAAAATATTTACTACGAGCTTCTCTTTGTCTTACTCTCTATTCTGTTGCAGCTTGAGGTAGCTAGATCACCAGATTTAAGGAAACACAGCAGAGGATGAAAAGAGGTGATTGCGCTTCATTTTTAAGACTTCAACATGGATGCTGATCAGTTGGCAACAAAAGGAGTAAATGCAGTTGAGTGTGACAAATGATACAGCATCAGAAAATAAAGATGTCATTTTTGGTCTTGGATGATGGCTCACTCACATACTAAAATTAATTCTATCACCATACTGTCTGTCTGTTATTAATGGGGTGTCTCATTCAGCAAAAGAATGTGCTTCCACAATGCACAATCATTAACTGTACATGAAAGGACAGGAAATCATACAACTTCTGTAGGGTTTGACATTTACTGACTAATATCAATATCATGTGCTGAGGAAGTCACAGAGAACACAACACAAATAGTTGTTCCAGTAATGTATTTGTAGGTCATCCTATTCTGCATGCCCTCATTTTTGTGTGATGTCCTCGAGAAGTCAAGTTTCATCAATTTACTAATAGAAGAGCAAAACAAATAGAGAACTGTTGTGTGACTGCAGTTTACCCCGGGGCAGGGGACAGGGACAAGAGCCAGAAGCAGAAGCCTTCAGGTTAACTGAAGGCCTTGTGGAAAGGTTTACTCTTAAACTGACCCTAAGGTAGCAGGCAGAAGAGCTGTTTGGACAGAACTCCCTATCTGAAGTGAAAGGTGTAGTCTGTCCTAATCCATTAAGAGAAAGAACCAATGATCTGCTTTGGTAAGTCTTTCTCAGGGTATCAGAAATTTGGAGCACAGACAAGATTTGCTTATGCTGATTAAGGAGACTGTTCTTAGGAACATCCATCTGTACCAAGCACTCCTGGGCTGCTGGCCTTTCCAGAGATTGTCTTAGAAGTGGGTACTTCGCACTTGATCTCTCCAATGGGAGCCCATAATTTTGTTTATGGTGGATTTTGCAGGATATGATGCCAAGGGGAATCTCAACATCAAGCATCTTGTAGATCACAGCATCCCTGAGCTTTAGAAACACAGCTGAGTTTGTTGTTGATACAGGACAGCTTCCTTGCTGGAATTTCTGCCCTCAGTTCATGAACGATTCGGTAGATTGCTCCGTAGGCAAGTGGAAATGGAAAGATACACTTTCATTTCTATCTTGTTTTAGGACCTGGAGGAAGAAATGAGACAAAAGATAGCTGAGAAGACTGTATACAGACACAGCAAGCCTCTGCTGAGTTCTGCCCACTGGATAAGCAAAATGCATCAACCAACAGAAGGCTTCTAGCTTCCCTAGGAACTGCAGATGGCAGTAATTCAACAACTGATGCTTTCTGGGGAGATGGAGAGAGCATTCCCTCCACCCCCCTGTGCATCTGGCTGTGCCTCAGAGCTGCAGTTTTATAGCATAAAACCTTCAATCACTATGCAAGTTCTACATACTCCCATTCCTCCTCCTCCCTTTTGTCTTCCCCCACCTCCCAACATGGTGTGTTTCCCCTTCAGGAGTGGGAGGGATCATGGGTTATTGCCGAGCAGAGCCAATTTCCTGACAGTTGTGGCAGTGACAGCGCAGAACAGACACAGCTAAGGACAACACTGCTGCCAGTGTGACAGTGCTCCTTGTGAGCTGTGTGGACAGCTCAGCCTTGCTGCCACAATGGTACTGCTTGGGGAAACCTGGTGAGATGCCTCTCTAAGCTGTTTCTTAGATACTGTCATGGATGCTGTTAATGTTGCAGAAAGCATTGAATCTTTTGTGGTCCTGCTGAAGCTCTGTGGTACAGCCATAACATCAGGTAATATCCTTCCACCTCAGAGATATTAACTGGCATTGCTATTAGGTGAACAAGACTGGGAGTGCTTTTCTCCTTAGATGGGGCTGTGCAGAGGGACAGTGTCACTGTGGCAAATATGGACTGCAAATTGACAGCACATGGGCTGTGTAAGGCACAGTGCTCAAACAGGGAGAGTGTTTTGCTTGGCATCCCTTTTGCCCTATAGGTAACAATATTTTATATGAAAGCCTGAAAGCCAGACTCTGGGAAAAGGAAAGTGGTGTGTAAGAGGATATTTCATTTGAAAGGGCAGTTTCCATGTGAGCTGCCAAGTGAATGGCATTATTTCACTGTCAGGGCATCTAAATTATGGCAGATTGAGATGTAGTGGTTTGTGTTTGCATACAAGTAAGGCAGGGCCAGCCTAAGTATGTATATGCAGCTGTGGCCACCCTTATTTCATAGTACTTCACATCTTACATCTCAGATGGTTGGTAAGATGGTGCCTACATACCTGCTAATATTTCTGGACTCTTTTTCCAAAAATCTGCTCTGCAGGTTTTTATCTACCACAGCTTAGTGGGGCAGTTTTCATTTCCCTGGAAATTTTCTGGGGAGATGTAAAATGTGCCTTTTCGGTAGGAACTCCAACTGCTGTACTTTGGCTCCTGAATGACAACTATCTGTTACTCAGACAAGAAGTGCCCGTTCTGCAATTGGCAGCGTTGAGCAAGTATTACAAAGAACTGAAAGGGCAGAGGGTACAGAGAACACCTATTTTCAGAAAATCTCGGTTCCCGTAGAATGAAGGTGGATTTCAGTGCTACCTTTGCTGGGCTGTCCTAGGACAGCGCTGTTGATGCAGCAGTTCATCAGTAACCTGGTGGACGAGCAAAGCAGAAAAACAGAAAGTGAAATCAGAATGTTGCCGTAAACAGAGGTAGGTGGGAAATGATAATACAGAAAAAAACTTGTCTTTGCCTTACTGCTATTTACAGGGTTGTCTATGGCAAACAGAACATGCCACAGAAAGAGTCTGTGGCTGAAGCGCAATGGCAGTAAGAGAAAAACAAGAAAACAAAATTGTCAGTACAAGTGAAATGCATAGATAACAGTGCCAAATGAAAATTCTACATTTCCAAGCCCTAAGGGGCAAGCCCTCCCCCAGCCGCATATCCAGACTACGTGCTTACATTAAAACCTGCTGCATCTTCCTAGCTGTCTTCTTCCAGTCAAACCACATGATATCAGTCTTGCTTGATCTGAGCATCTCCATGCTGGATATGCAGCCTAGATCCTGCCTGGGACTGAGAGTACCACACGCTAGAGAATCTCTCTCCTGCCCGTGAAAGCAGGAACCCCTGAGCATCACTAGGGCTTCACTGGGAGTTGTCTGCCTTGAACCTGGGAGTTGTCCATAGCAGAATCTCATCTTCCTCAGCACTCAGCTCACATCAGTCAGTGAAGAGTGATGTGGTGTCATGTGCCCCAGTACGTGGTTGCCCAAAAGGGGCACTTGGTGCTGCAGGTGTTGTTGGTAACATCTTGCTGACGTGGCACCTGCCTTGCACTGGGGCAGGAGCAGGTCTCCTGGATCTGAAACTCCTGCCTGTCTTCAGGAGGCAAATGAGCAGGAAGTCTGCAAGGGCACTGGGGGCGTGGTGTGTGGAAAGCAAGAGCATGTGACTGTAGAGGAAGGAAAGGAGCAAGTTATGACTTTAATTTTCTCCTGTCAGCTAGTTTTCAGTTGCAGCATCTTGCTTTGAAACATCACTGGGAGATCAGAGAGCCTGTATAATAAAACTGTTTTGCTTGCAGCACATAATCTCAAGTAAAACAATCTCATTATGCAAATATTGAGTGCCTTCTTTCACAGGGGCTGTGGGACTGTGCTCCTCCTGCTCTGGAGGCATTGGTTTTCAGAGCACAAGCTGAGGATAAACTCTTAATCTTAACAGATGCTGGTAAGGCCAAGTCCATAGCTTATACTGGGGCACAGGTGCAAGAGGAAATGTTGTTCACCTCACCATGGTCACCACAGGGGTATCTTATGCTGTAGGGAGGTGTAGGAAGGGAGAGAAGGAGCAGCAGGTTTGCAAAGAGCTGCTCTTCCGAGAGCTACAGGCCACAGTTAGTGTGTGGCTGGGGACACAAAGGGGTACTGGAATGCTAATATGACTCCTGCAGGAACAGGTAGCCCAGGATAGAGCAGCTCTGTGGATGCCCATGGCAGGACATGAGCAAAACCTGGCTCGATGGTGTAACTAAGAACTCTCTCTCAAGGGGAATAGGATTGCTGCAGTGAAAGTTGGACAGGTTCCTTCACCCCTTCTTTCTTGTTTGACTTACAGTACTGTTTTGGAGAGCAGCTGGGGATGCATATTTATCCTTTCCTGGCACCTGTTTGCTTGCAAAAAGCTGTGGGCAAACTCTCTGGAGGGGCTGCTTGTGGCCATACCATGCTGCTGTCTGAGTAAGAGTCTGAACTGCAGTTGGAGACTTTTGCTTGGAGGAATGCTTTGAAACATATTGCTTTTGATGGCACTGTGTTGCCAAGGACTCTTTGTGGCTGAGTGAAGAGGTGACTCCTTGCCCTACTCTGCAGGGAGAGGAGCCTTTCTGAAGCACACGTGTCTCTCTCAGTTTTGTCAGGGACACTCTTTCTTCTCAGACACCACAACAGGGAAAGAGAACAGGATTGCAGCTGAGGCTGTGCCCCATTCCCTGTGCTTGTGCTCACTCCCAAAGGATATAGGGACCATTGCCAGGCCCCTGCACCCCCCTCTTCTATCTTCAATTTTCCCTCCTCTGTCTGAGGTCCCTGTGCTGCCAGCAACAGTTGTCAGGACTGAGAAGGGCTTATTGGGCCATATCATGCATGCCTCTGGCCATAGCAGTTTTGGGAAAAGTTGATAAGGAACAACTAGGAGTACCTGTCCAGGTGAAAGCCTGCTGACGGAGAGGGGCTCCCAGCCCTCACCAACCCAGAATGAATGTGGAGTTCTGGTGTGTCAGACTGAGTTTGGGGAAGCCTTGCCCAGACAGGGTGGCTGATGGCAGTTGCAGGCAGGCCTTTTCCCTCCCAGGAAGCTGTTCTAGAGAAATACCATCCTTGAAGGAAGACCCACATCTCTCCTGCCCTTTGTCCCCCACCGGCTGGGAGATCATGGCTTGGGGGTTCAAAGGCAATGTTTTCAAGTCTTCACCCATGTTTCCAGTCTCACAGTGTGGCCCTTAAGCTGGTAGGGAAATAATACTCCAGGGCTATGTTTTTCTCTCACACAGTGGCTCTGGGGTACCTGAAGTTGGGTCAGGATGGTGACAAGGCTGTTCTCTTCCTGCCACAGGGAACAATTACAGCTGCCTTTTCCTGTTCTGCTCTGCTTTGAGCACTGATCCCCTCTGGCAGAACTCCGGGATCTGAATTAAGGTAGGCCCTGCCCAACTGCCCTCCCCACTGCAGCCCAAGACCCCTCAGGAGACTAAAGTGCAAGCTCATTGACAGCTAATGGCATGTAGTTGAGAAACCAGTAAACTGCTTTGATCCTGGGTGGTTTCAAGCCATGTGAGTTGAACACTGTTCCCCTGTGACAGGGGCAGAATCAGGTTTAGTGAGGAACCCTGGGGGAGGATGGCAGTTCAATTAGCATCGTTTCATGGTGCAGCGTTAGAGGCTGTGGTTCTCAGGGAGAACATCTTCTGGCCTGTAACTGCACTGGTGTGTTTGTGCCCACTTTGGCTTGTCTTAGGGGACACCTTACCCTGTGTCCTGGTTTAACCCCAGCCAGCAGCCAAGCCCCTCATAGCTGCTTGCTCACTCCCCCCACCAGAGGATCGGAAGAGTAGAAGGCAGAAAACTCATGGGTTGAGATAAAGACAGTTTAACAGGGCCACACACACAAGCAAAGCAAAACAAAGAATTAATTCACTGCTTCCCACATGCAGGCAGGTGTTCAGCTAGGTCCAGGAGAGCAGGGCCCCATCACGTTTGTCTTCTTGGGAAGACAAACACCATCACTCCAAATGCCTCCCTCTTCATCCTTCTTCCCCTCATTGAGCATGGTGCCATATGGCCTGGAATATGTGTTTGGTCAGTTTGGGTCACCTGTCCCTACTGTGTCCTCTCCCAGCCTCCCCTCTACCCCCAACTTCTTCCCCAGTGTGGCAGTATGAAAAGCAGTATGAGAGGGCTCTCTGTAAGCCCTGCTCAATACTAACAAAACCATCACTGTGTCATCAACACTGTGTTCAGCACAAATCCAAAACACAGTCCCATACTAGTTACTGTGAAGAAAACTGGTTTCATTGTCTTTTAAATGTCTTTCAACGGCACCCAGTATGATTTTTCCCAAAATTTTTCCAGGTACTGAGGTTAGAATAAAAGGTCTGTAGTTCCCTGAGTCATCCTTCATGGCCTTCTTGTAATCTGGAATAACACTGACTAGCTGTTACTCAGCATGGACCTCCCCACGCTCCCAAGACCTTGGTGCATGATTCAGAAAGGTCCTGCTGTAACATCCATCAGCTCCCTCAGGGATAAAACTGGGATAAAACCCACCTGGCCCCGTGGAGTTATGAACAGTCAACTGGTACAACTGGTCCCTGACAATTTCAGTGTCCCCAGATGGAAAGTCACTGTTCCCACAGTCATGGTCCTTGCAGCTCAGAGGACCAGGCAGCACAAGGGTTATTGTCAGTATTAAAAACTGAGACATAAAAAGCTCTGAATGCCTTCACTTTTTCTTCATCCTTATTTGTTTGGGTTACTTGGTGCTTTAAAATGTGTGTGTTGAAAGGGTTGGCCACTACCCAGCCAACTCAGTGACACTACAAGGAAAGACAAAATTTTCATGTAAGTTTGAAGCAATTTTGACACTTCTTTCGAGCATGCTATCTTTTCACAATGATGCAGAAAGTATATTTTGAAAAGCATGTGTTTGAGAGTATATTTTGCTAAAATTAGCAAGAAATTTATACATCAGTATTTTTTCTGATAGCCTAGAATGATTTTCTGTCTTTTCAGGTTAAGTAGTGGGCAACTTAGCCACAAAATAATTCCTACTTTCATTTACTTTGTTAATGAAATGTTAAAGCACAATGAACATTCAGTGCCAGTAAAGGTAGGAGCTTCAAAATTTTATTTGTTTTTCAGGAGAAAAGACTTGAAAATTTAATTCATGTAGCACTGCTAAGACATTTTTCTAATTGTAGAATTAGATTATTTAAAATATACACATGTATCTGCGAGTTTCCAGAAGGTTCACTTGACTCAGAATAAGATAGGTCTTCCCTGCATAATCCCTCCAGGAACAGGTAACCCTGAGGCAAACCAAAAAAGATAGACTCTGATTTCTGCAGTAAAAATTATTTCTCTTCTCAAGCCATAGGGAAGGGTGATTTCTATTGAAAGCACCCCGTTTTAATACAGGCTTCTTCACTTCAGCCTTATTTAACATTCAGCCCTTGTGTAGAAGGGACTCGAGGCTGTTCAGTGCGTGCAGATGGTCTGTTAGTGCCATTCAAATTACAGTCCTCAGTGTCTTTGCTGAAGTGGTGATTTCATTTGGGTTTGTAATTTTCTTCTGTTTTGTTTTGTTTTCTTTTGTAAATGGCTGCAAAAAAAGTCCAGATCTGGACCAGAACCCGTAAACTGTACGCTAAAACAGACTTCACTCCTTCCCTTCACCTCTACACTCAAGTATGAAGGTGGAGTCAGAGCTTGCATTAGGAATTTTTTTATGCAAAGAAATAGAGAATGCTATGGCTAAATCAAAGTCAGGTCTTTGTGTGTTGCACGCTGCCAGCTTCACACACAAACTTTGCAGAAATGCACCCCTAGCTTGCAGAAGGCTTATTAGATCCAAAGTCCGGAGAAGGAAAGTGTCATTTCACCTCAAAACTAACAGATGAAGACTCAAAGGCATTCTGACCCCATCAGCCCAACCCACCCTTCTTCCCCAGCTGACTTTCACAATGAGATGGTGCTGAACCAGGAAAACTTCCTGTTTTCTTCTTGATTTAACTCTTACTCCTCTCCACTGCCTGTGCTGGTGGATGATTCTTCTGGGCAAAAACAGCCTGAGACATGCTCTGAAGCATTTAAACTCTGTTTTGAGAGTTTAGCATTGTTCCCTCCAGAAAGATGAATGTGGAATGCAAAGAGAAGGGTGTCTCCTGCTCTTCAGACCTCACACAGACACAGTGCAGCAGCATTTTCCCCCAGTGGCAGACAATAAAGTACTGGGGCAAAAGTACATCTTATTTTAGTGCATTATAGCAGCGCCTGATCATCCAGTAGTGTTTACACAAACATTATTTAGCTTTATTGCAACTCTGTCCTCCATACCAAACAATTTAAAACATTAAAAAGCACAGATAATCTAGCTCAATAAGTTCATTTGTAATGGAAAATGTCCTAGGTACTAATAACCTGCAAATTTTAACCCTGCAAGTCGTGGGCCCTGATAATATCCTTACAGACAAACTGACGATGTTGTTTGCATAGGTAGAGCAGAACTCCTGAACTGCCAGACACTGAGTGCTGTCATCAGATGTACAAAGTCCAAGTGGCAGCTGGTTACTAGCGCCACTCCTCAGGGACTGATGTTGAGCCCAGTGCGCCCTAATGTTCCACTCAACAACCAGAGCAATAGCATGGAATATGCCCTCAGCAAATTTGGTATGATTACAAAGAAGGAGCGGGCAGAGCAGGGGTTGAGGACAGATCGAGTGGCAGGCAGGGTCACTCTTCTGATCACTCACTGTGATGTGCTGCAGAAATGCAACAGCATGAACTTCACAGAGATCAAGACAGGCCTCTGGGCTTATCCAACCCGTGAAGTAACTCTGCAACAATTAAGGCTGGGCACCAACAGACTGAGGAATAACTTTGCCAGAAGAGGAACCAGAGTCCTGGTCTGATTATCTTCCATCAGTGTTGTGTGGTTTCGTGGTGGCAAAGACCAGCCACATGTTGAGGAATATATTTAGTGCAGGTAACTTGGTGTGTAGCTGCAGTGGGATCTGAAGGTTGAGCTCTGGGTGGGAGCCCGAAGCAAGAGGCCAGGAACTGGTGCTGACCCTTTACACAACAAAGGGCACAGGGACCTGTGGCCCAGCCACTGTGAGAGACCACAGGAGGTAGGAAGACCCCAGACTTTGGTGCACATAGACTACGAGTGTATAAAAGCCTGGTAATCCTTTGTTCTGGAACCCTCCTCAGACAACCAGCTCAAGCTGTAGCTGTTATTTTATTGCTGCACAATGACTAAATTACTTAGAGCAACCAGAGGTCTGGGATGGTGCTATGGGAAACCTGGGGTCAATCTGGGTCAGCCAAGGGGTCACTGGAGCCACCTGCTGTGAAGAGGCTTCAGTCCCAGTCTCTTGTGGTTGGCGTGTGACTGCCAGAGTGCTCCTGGAATGGTCAGACAGGGAAGTTTTCCTAACAGTTTGGTAACCCAGATGGAACCCCAGGCCACCACCTTTGAAGCCCCCCTTCCCCAAACATCCAACCGCGGACACTTGGGTGAGTTCACCTGGGATCACTGGCGCAGAAAAGAGCCAAAGGGTGAATGTTAAAATTCCCTGAGCAGATTCTGTATAAATCATAAGGGCGGATTTGTGTCTCCCTGTTGCTGTTGGTGCAGCATTTTGCACAGATATGGTGAAATTACTGGCGGGGGGTTGAGTATGGATGTGCAGCCTGACCAGTGTAAGGACCAGATAGGGGAGATATAGAGTCCCTTGTAAGATGCAAGGTGGTGATGAAAGCTCAAGTCTCTCGTGTGACACAGGGGATTTGGAGCCCCTCTTAGCATTTGAAATGATGGAAAACGAACCCGGCATGGAAAAGGAGATGCCCTTGGCTGAGGTTGTGCAAAACTGGGAGAAACTGAACTGTAAATACTTGCACCTTGGAACAGCTGATGGGACCTGGGGATAAGGACTGGCTCTACCCATGACCTGGGGATAAGGACTGGCTCTAAGGGCTGGGGCATGAAGCTGGGCCAGGCAGTGATTCTGAACACACTGGGCCATCCC